CCCTCCCTTGCCTCCTTCAAGACCGGTCTCAAGACCCTCCTCTTTGACTGTGCTTTCGGTTGCCCTCCTACCCCTACCCTCCACTCCTCTTGATCCCAACCTCCAGCTTGGGTGCAGATCCCTGACTGTCAGCGCCTTGGGACGTCCTCCTGACGTGAAAGGCGCTGCGTAAATGTGATTTGTTGTGCTGTTGTTTATATAAAGTGTTTTTTTTAATTGATTTCTTGAGTTTTATTGATATTTCATTTGGGAATATTTCAAACTGATGGATGCAGTGGGTCAGTTCAGTCTGAAATGTGCAGCTCAGCTGTGCATCGCAAAGACCAGGAACTTCCTTTGCAATTGAAGAGCAAAGGGCCACAAATACATCTGATGGTAAGATTTTTGCTTTTAAGGTTAATGCTCTCAACCAATTTCAATCGACCCAACAACACAAAACAGATCAAAGTTTTAAAGAAGAAAAGTTCTAAGGAACTCAAACCGAAGGACATTTCATTGGATTGACCTATGTTTCTTGTTTATACATTTTAATAGCCCCCAAAACACAGATCTGCACAGTTTTGACCGGACATTTCATCCGTCACCGGGAAATTCCTTGCAGATAATGGATTAAAAATTGAAAAAAAAACACTCCAGCACATTCTTGTTGGAACCAATTATTGAGAGTCAGATGTTGGATTGAACCTTCTTTTATCTGATTTTGCTTACACGGAACTAATTGGTAGAAAAAAAAGGGATTAACATCATAACTTAAACCATCAAAAGTACTCATGTTGAGCATAAATACCTGGAATTGGATTTTATCTCATTGGATGGTTTCCATTCACACAATATACAGTCAATTCAGTTTACAGTATATTCTGTGAAGTGCTTTGTGACATCTCAAAGATGTGATAAGACCCTATAAGGCACTATATCAAATGCAAGTATTATTATTACTATTATTTGGGAGAATTCATCAATAGATGAGAAACAGGATATCTTTACCATAGCAAATAACATCATCATCTGCATTATTTAATGTAGTTTATAATGGTTACTTGTAATGACTACCGCTGAAATAATGACAGAAAGATTATTCCAGTAGTTTAACAGTAACTTGTTAATGTTATTCTGAGTTGTCACACATTTATTACAGTACAGTAATAAACACAGTAATGATGAGGAAGAACCTGCACCTTTATAACGCCTGAAACAAATTGCCTGACAGCCATTTTCAGTAAGTACTAGTTACTAGTTTTGTTGGCAAATGTGGCAACTATTTTGTATACAGCAAAATCCTGACAAACAGCGAGAAGCTGAACGATCAATTTATTTGGAGGCTTTTTTGACGAGACACTGGGAGAAACTCGCTTCACTTCTCGAATAGTGTCATGGTCATAGGTTATTATTTAACATCCACTTCAACAGGCGGATTGGACCTTGGTTTAACATCCTATCTAAAGGTTGGCACCACTAATGGTTAGGCTGTGATCTCAAAGTCCCAGTGTGGTTCTTTGAACCCATAACCTTATGACCTAGCGGTACCAACTAAGTCAAGCTAACACCTACACTTCTTAACTATGTAATTGTTCCAAAGCCTCAGTTGATAAAGCCAGTGCCTAGTGTGTAACCGAGCCATAAAATCCATGAAGTTTCCCAATTTGATCTGTGCCAAGGTAGCGAATCGTCACACTTCACAGTATACTCTGTGAAGCGCTTTTGAGACGTCTCGAAGGCGTGATAAGGTGTCATATCAAATGCAAGGATTATTATTATTATCAGTTATTAAAACTAATCTCAAACGAGGTTAGCAGTAGGTGCAGGATAATTGCTGTCAGTGTCTCTTGCTGAAACAATACGTGGGTGTTGCATTGGGCGAGGACCAAGCTTGTGCTTGGCTGAGATACCCGCGATTACAAAGGCTGAAGACACATTTATTGGTGTCTATTTAATGATATTTCATTAAGGGAACAAAAGCACCGTCACCCTTAGGAAGGAAATGATAGCAAAGTGTTAACAAGAGGGGAGAAGAATAATGAATGACCTGCGTTGTGGTTATGGAAGTGTATCGGTTGCACGCCCTTGCCTGTTAAGATCTCTAACAGGTGATTAATAGTCTAGTCTGCACAAGCAACCAAGAAATGTGTTGGGTTGTGATATCAGTGATGGATGTGCATTTAACCCTGACCAGGAACTGTTGTGGACTGCGTGGGCGGCTGGCACAGACATTTATAGCAGGGGCTGTGTTAAAAAAGGCAAACATTATAAAAGGTAATGTTAACGTTTCCAAGGGGGTGGGTGAGAGACGCAAAATGAAGGATTTTGACTTGGGCTTCCCTCTTCTGCTACAGGTGGACATCGGCAGAAAAAGCTTCCAAGCTTCCCTCCAGTAACTTATTTGTTATTGGTTTACCAAACGCCTCGCTCACTCCTCAGTGGATTTCACTGCTGTTTGAGGCAACGGCTTATGGTGGGAGGAAACAAATCTATGGGGCTATTCTGCTTTGTGGAAAGGAAAGATTTTCATTCCTCGTTAATAACCGGCACCACCCAATCACACTAAAATAGCACATGCAAGACTCTCATGACTCGCATTCGATACAGCGCCTTATCACATCGTTGAGACATCTCGAAACACGTCGCAGAACGTACTGTAAAGTGCAGTGACTGTGTTGTTTGTGGGCAAAACGCCATAACTGCAACTGCAACATGTAGCTCCTCGACTAACCTCTTATGATTCAGTTTAAGTAAATATATATTTATTTTTTTTAAAAAAATGAATTCCGTCTGCCTGATGTTAGTGCAGAACCTCTCACCTAAACTCGCATTGTTTTGGGGTTTCCCATAAAGCTGTTCAGTTCAGTTCAAGTGAGGTNAAAAAAATACGTAGGGCTTGTAGTTAGAAGCTAATGATGTGGAACAGAATAAGGAGGGCAGTGCTTTACGCTGAACTATTTCACCTCCACTTCCTCTCTCCTGTAACTGGCCGAAACCTCTTGGGTTCTGAACAGCCGTTGAACTATTTATAATGCCTGTCCCGCCTGTCATAGCGAGGTGCACCGATATGGCCGATTCTGTTGTCTCGTTTGATGTTTTGTCTCACAAAATATACAGACAATTCACTTTACAGTATATTCTGTGAAGCGCTTTGAGACGTCTGGAAGATGTGATAACGCTCTGTACCAAATGCAAAGGTTATTATTATTATATTATTATAATGGAGCTGCTGTGACTTCCGACAAGCATAAAGCCTTCTAACATCCCTTTGAAATCAACCCCCTTGCCAGTGTCTGAGATACTGAACAAACAGCAGCTTATTTACTTTCTCCTGCGTTCTTGTGCCTTGAAACATGGACCAATAGGGCACCAGAAGTGTTGTACACGTCCGATTTCCAGCTCCGACTGACCTGCTTCCTGTGACCATATCTCACTCGTTCCTCATTCTTCCCTCATCTCTTGGACAAAAACATCCACCTGCTCCCTTGACCCCATTCCCACGCAGATCCTGTCCACACAGCTGCTGCTCCTCAGCTGAAACACTCATCCATTCCTTTGTCACCTCCGGACTACATTTTCTCCTTATAATAATCCTTGCATTTGATACAGCGCCTTATCAAGACTGAGACGCCTCAAAGCGTTTCAAAGAATACACTGAAAAGTGAATTGACCGTATATGGTTCTGGGTGAAACGCGGCAGCCAATTGCGCACAGCAGTGTCCCACAAACCAAGTCGTGGCTTGAGTGACCGAAATATTATTATTTTACTTTTTTTTTGCTCACTGGCCTTTCAGCTCTTTGCTCTACAAGCTCCAGATCGTCCAGCAAGGGTCAAAAGAATCGCACGAATCTCCCTAGCCCCCGCGTAAAAAGTGATTAAGTATCAGAAATGAACATTGTAGTTGATATTGAAGAGCTCGATTGCTGTGAGAAAGTTCATCTATCCATTAAAAGATCTCTATTTTAGAGATTGGGGTTAAAAAAAAGGACTTTTTCACCAGTGTCAGTGTTTACTGTCGATAAAAGAATTTGGGCAAATAGATGAAACGCATCCGTTTGAAAAAGCCGGATTCAGGAAGGCGGACAATGCTCAAAGTGCATATGGATTGAGAAACATGTGTGAGCCCAGGACAGCCATTGGGACACTTGCCCACAGGAGTGGTTGGGTGCTGCCCCCTAGAGGTAACGCACTATTCCTTCAGTTTAAATTTTTTTAAAAATGATAATAATACTAAGCCTCGTATTTCGAGATGTATCAAAAAAGCACTTCGCAGAGTACTCTGGGAAGTGAATCGACTGTGTTCGCCACTGTCAAGCACTCTGGGACGCTGCCCGTGTGTGAGGGGCGCTGTATAGATGCAAGCTGTTGTTGTATATTTTGTGGGCGAAACACGGCAGCCAATTGCACGCAGCAGCGTCCCACAAACAGCCTTGGGTTAGGTGACTAAATTGGGGGAGGGCCTTCAGTTAATCTGTCCTCAACCTCTGTAACTCCATCCCACAGTCCCTCCTTCTTGCCTCTTTCAAGATCCGTCTCAAGACCCTCCTCTCCCTCCTCTTCGACCGCGCCTTCAGTCGACCACCTACCCCTACCCTCCTCGCCCTCCACCCCTCATGATGCCCACCACCAGCTCGGGTGCGAGAACAGATGAGGCCGTGTGGCGTAGGGTTGGCAAAAAAATGAAGGTCTAACACAAAACATAACATGTAGAAGCAGGAGTAAGGCCGTTCGGCCCTTCGAGCCTGCCCCGACATTCAATCGTGACTGATCTTCTAATCCAGATTAAGACAGATTAGAACAGATAAAACAGATAGAGCAGATTCAGGATCAGTTGCATGGTGTAGGACTGGTGAATAAGGGTCTTTTGTGCATAACATATGATGGGTCTACTGTGACTGGGGTCTGGGATAGAACCTCGGTCCTGCTCTAGAACTTCCCCCTCAATGACCGTCAGAACCTCCAGTGGTTTGAATTTCTCTCCCCCTTCGGACCACAACGTCAAAGGTGCGTCGGTGAAGAAATGGAAAGCAAGTCAGGAATCTCAGATGAGGAGAAAGTGAGTGCGTTTTTTTTTCCCCCTCTTTTTAAATATATTTCTTGCCGGTGAAAGAGTAAAATCGTTTGATCACCGCCGTGGCTGCAGTGGAGGCCAACTGCTATATTTTCTCGGGTTATATTGGAGGGTGGTGAATTTTTTCTGTCAGTCATCTTCTAACGTAACCTCTGTAACTCGCCTTCAACACAATAACTTGAGATGTTATGTCAAGGAACCCAAGATTCTTTGTGGTAGTGTAGTAACAGTCCTATCAAATAATAATAATCCTTGCATTTAATATAGCACCTTATCACGTCTTCGAGACATCTCAAGACCATCACAGAATATACTCTAAAGTGAGTTGACTGTATATTTTCTGGGCCAAAGTCTGTGTTAAATCAATATTTTGTTGCCCGTAACTACTGAGTAGCAATATTCTTGGTGTGGCCGTAAATCAAGAACTACTCAATCAAGAAAACAACTCATTTAGTTGGCCGACCAAACAGGTTGGTCGCTTTTGCTTCAGATGGAACAAGGTGTCATCTCTGTCTTTAGGGAAATATTACACCATACAATTCAGAAATGACCACATACCTGGAATACTTCCAATACAAATTATTATTATTAACTTTCCTAGTGAGGTACCACATTGCGACTCTATAATCTTGTGGTACCATGGCCAAGCTACGCCAGTTGATGCTCCCAGATGTTTCCAGACCCTATGTTAAAGTCTGATGAATATCCTCATTTAAGAGCCTCTCAGAAGTACTCAGTCTAACTTGCACAGATACTGAGCACATGATGTGACTGGTGTAAATGCCTCGGCAGATGTTTTTTTTTAAATTGCTCTGTGATGTTGCGGAGAAATAATCTTGGTTCATTCTTTTCCAGGTTCAGATATTCCGCCGTTTACTGTCACAGGCTCCACCAGGGGAGTTCAGTGAAGTCTTTAACGGTGAGCGTATTGTACTGACACTTAAAGAGGAGTCGCAGGAACACCCGAAGTGACTAAAAAGCTGGTTCAGCTGGTTGGTTTTGAGACGTCTCAAAGACGTGATAAGGTGCTTTAGCAAATGCAAGGATTATTATTATTATTCTTATGAACTCATGGTGAACTACAGAAAGATCGCTGTGTTTGGATGTGAAACACTGGAAGTTCCTTTCAAATTGGGTTTGCCTTTTCGCGTGCAACACACATGATTTAAAGCACGTTTACAACATCACTTGGTGTAGCAAGCCACAAAGTTAAATGGCAGCTTGTTTGCTTTCTTCTTTCTCCAACCAAGGTTTGCCAAACAGTTCATCGGGAAAGCAATGCGTCTTAAGAGGAGAGAACATGCTTTATATTTGCAAATTCAAAACATTTTGTTCCGACAGTGAATGTTCCAACGGATGCTTCAAAACCAAAACCTGTGGCAATGTGAATGTCACCCTGAAAATAATAATCATCCTGGCATTTGATACAGCGCCTCATCACGTCTTCGAGACGTCTCAAAGTGCTTCGCGGAATATACTGTAACGTGAATTGACTGTATATTTTGTGGGCGAAACGCGGCAGCCGATTGCGCACAGCAGCGTCCCCACAAACAGCCGTGGATCGAGTGACCTCATTATTATTTTTTTGAAGGACTCATAACCCCCGTAAAAGCAATCCACCAATCGACTAACAACAAAATGGGTGGAGGTAACAGAGGCTTTAGACTAACTTAGCCTTAACCTGCAAATCCCATTTTGCCTTTCAATTTAAGATGGTGGAGTATTGCAATTTCTTTTAAATTCAGTTGTCGTTTGGAAGCCAGCGTTCTTAAAAAGAAGCTTCCCCAAAGCTTGGCTCTCGCCAACCTGCGCCTAATACTTTCCAGAATTAGGTAAGCAGGATACAGCCCTTCAGGGAGAGAGATTGAGAGAGAGAGCGCAATCCATTCCAACAATCTATTTCTGGGATTTCCATGGGTTGCATCTAAATCTCAGCTTGGCTTGGATACTCTTAAGCGACGGCGATGGGTGTCCGCGTGTGTCAGACACCCCGGTCAGGCTGACCAGGAATTAAATAAATAAAAAAGAAACTGTGTCCGAATTGAGATCAACTTTAGGAGTTAAGTTTGTCGGGTTCAAGCCTGAGTCGAGTTTCTGTGTAAACCCATCAGAACTCGTGCAAACAACACAGCAGCAACGCACAGCTAATGGGATTAGGTTCTTTCCCTGCCGTCGGCCAGTAGTGTTTCAATGAATAATGTCTAATTTAAGGCTGGCATCAGGCCTTGGGAATACTGAGTGGTGTGAATGTACACACATTCTCAGCTGTAGATTCATTTTTTCTCTCTCTCTTGCTTGTTACAGATGTGCGGACGTTGCTGAAAAAAGATTCTCTGCTGCGTGACCACATCTCAAAGTGAGTAGCAGCTAAAATAAAATTCTCCTTTTCCCCCCCCCCCCCGCCCCCCCCCAACCCCAATGTAATTTTAAAACCCCTAGCATGCTAGAACAAGAACCCCTTTATTTTCTTAAGAACATAAAATGTGATATTTCAGTCAGTCAAACCCATTCCTTTCACTGACGGCATGAAAGCTATCCCAACATAAACATCCTCCTCCTTCCTTATGCGAAGATAATAATAGTAATAATAATAATAATCCTTGCATTTGATACTGGAGTCCTGTAGCTCAGCGGTTAGAGCACTCGCCTCACAAGCAAGAGACCTGCGTTCGATTCCTGGCAGGTCAGGGCGAAACCGTGGGCAAGTTTCCTTACTCCACAAACCTGATAATAATTCTTAAAAAAAAAAACGATAATAGATTGGTTACTTCAATCCACGACTGGTTGTGGGGACACTGCTGTGTGCAATTGGCTGCTGTGCATCACCCACAAAATGCAAGGATTATTAGTATTATTATTATATAGCTCCTTAACACATCTTCTAGACGTCTCAAAGTTTCGCAGAATATACAGAATTTATCGCGAACATGCAGGATTGGATCAGTCCGTTGTGACACTGTTGTTTTATAGGGCCGCAGCCCAGTATAACCTGGATCAGTTCATCCCTGTGGAAGTAAAGAACCAAAATGTAGGTGTACAATGACCCAGGTGAAACGGTTTCTTGTTATTTGGGCGAAATGTCGGGAGAGGACAGCATTATTGCATCTCAATCTTCCTCTTTTAGGCTCATCCCTCACCCTCCTCGCTTCCCAACACACACACACACACACACACACCCACACACTGCCATCGATTCCAACAGCTCCCAATACATTATTGGATCAAAATCCTTCTTTAGAAGGAGTGGGCAGGAAGCAGATTCTCTGGCTGGTTCTGCCGCGTGTTGCAGTGAGATTGAATGGGGCTGGATGCACGCAACAGGGAAACCAATTTGAGTTCAGTTTCAACTGCGTTTTATTCCACATTTACTTTTTGTCTCCTCCAGTCTTTTCAAACGTCTACTCCACCACATACTATTGTTATTCAGGCGCACGTAATAGGCTATTGCTATTTCAAACAAACAGAGTGTTTCTCTCAGTTATCTCGGCTTGTTTTTTCCCCTCTTAATCCAAATTGGTCTCATAATTCAAATTAATTGGCTGGGCTCAATTTATCGTTGTTTGTGCGATTTTGCTGCCACATCTTAGCAGCAATGTTCGCCGGCATAACAACATCGGCTTAATTTCTTACCAATTAAATTTTGCAAGGCACTTTGAGGCGTATAATTACACAAGAGTACATCAATCTGCATTATGGTTATTGTTGCATTGTAGCTCACACAAAAAAACCCCACAAAAATGGCAAGTTTAATATGCTGTGAGTATTTAAAGGTTTATTTATGTTGGAATGTGGTTCACAGTGCAAATGACTTATTAGTTTCACTTAGCGATGATCCTAATTAGGGCACACTGCTTTGTAACTAACTCACCACCTATCCCTTAGGTCCTGCTAACTGAATATGGTGATCTTGGGAAGGGTTACTTCCTGGATCCGGCTCGTAAGATTTCCTTTAAGGTCAATCACATGAGTAAAGAAGCTTCTGATGTCCAGACGTACGCAGCGCAGGCTAACATGGAGACCTGGAGGAGTTCAGTGGAGAGCGTGCTCACTGCTTACGTAAAGGATCACTACCCATATGGAGTGTGTACTGTGAGTAACATCTAGAATTATCTCCTGCTCGTTCCAGCTAGGAGGATTGCTTGAACAATAATAATATGAATAATAATAATATGAATAATCCTTGCATTTGATACAGCCCCTTATCGCGGCTTCGAGACATCTCAAAAGTGCTTCACAGGATACACTACGAAGTGAATTGACTGTATATTTTGTGGGGCGAAAAGTAACAGCAAAAAAAAACCTATCCGAGATGAACTAATATTGACGGATTACAGCTTTTTCTGGGTCCGCGGATGTACTCACAAACATGATTAACTTCACAAGAACGGTGACATTTCGCAAAAGTCATTGTTCTTACCCATTGCGCCCCGTACACATTTTGTAGGCACTCTTCCATCCATCTGATTGCTCGGAAGGCAACATCAATATTAACCCTCCCCTTGTTCCTCTCTCATTTTCTATATCGCCTTCCAATGCCATTGTTATTCCAAGATGGTTCATTTTATTTCTGTAGTAAATTACCGCTCGCACTTTACATTCTTCCTGAAGCCTCTCACCCTTGTGTTAGTTAGCACAATTTGACAGCCTATCCTTCTTTGACAGGTATATGGTAAAACATTAAATGCAGGAAAAGCCATCATCGCATGCATCGAATGTCATAAATATCAGCCAAATGTCTTCTGGTAAGTCACAGTTATATCGCAGTAATGTGCTCGATTCCTCTGATCTACACGCGGGCTATTTGACATAAATGTCCGTCCTGTTACCTACCTCAGTTGCTTGACTACGAAACTTGGCACCAGAAGTTTCTGGGTTGAATTCCCGGTGGATTCACTCAGATTTTCACCCTTGTGACACTCATAAAGTGGAGAGAGAGAGAGAGAGGCAAGTAAGTTAGACCTGGGATTAGATTGGTTTTGAGGAGGTAAACTTGTTAAAAGACAGATAGGTCTTCATTAACCCAAGAGATTGTTCATGGTTGACTAACTTGGGTTGTCTTATCAATGAGTCTCAGAGCTGTAGCGATGTCATCAATCCTAATAAACCATCGCACTAATCAGTAAAGCTTGGTTAATCTGGACAAGTACCATCAGTGCTTTATACCAGGTAATCATGTAATACAGGCAGCCATCTGAATCCAATTTATTTCATCTTTGCTGGAAAATATATTCCCTTTCCTACATCTTCCAACCCTCTTGAAGCCCTGATGGGGTTTGGTTTTATAGGTACTGGTAATCCTCCTGTACTTCATCCAAATGTAATGTTTCATGTGGAGTCAAGTTGTTTAACAATAGGAGGAGAATTACTGACCATCGCAATTCTGCTCACTACCCATCTAAATGCAATGTGTGCGCTTTCCAAGTCTCCAAACAATAGGCGGTTTGTTAATCAATTGTGCAAAATGCTGAGAAGGCCATTTATAATGAGAATAAATTAATAAATTATCTTTTATTTTGTCTTTTAACTTGTTTTTAGGAATGGCCTGTGGAAGTCTGAATGGAAATTTGTCCTCTCCCCACCATGCACTGAAGTGACAGGCACAATTAAAGTGCGGGTAAGTGAGAACTAAATGAGAAACAGGAAGGCTCGAGCCAATATTCTGACTCGCAATATTTCTGGCCTAGGAATTTTTCTAATAGGAATTTTTCTAGTAGGTCGAAGTCCATGTAAAATATGCATTATTATTATGCTTGCGTCATTCATAAGTTTCTAACCTATATTTGTCGAGAGTGGAGGGAACAATTTGAAAAGTGGGGTCGTTAAATTATATATTAATAAATCCTACATTTGCTTCCCAGGCTCACTACTTTGAAGAGGGTAGCATTAGCTTGATAAGCAGCTTTGAAGTGAATGAGAAGCTCTCTCTGACGGTAAGAAAAATAGACATTGCCTGCAAGAATATTTGAGTCTTAACGAAGGAGTCACAACGGGGATTAACAATATATAATAATCCTCGCATTTCATATAGCACCATAATCACGTCTTCCAGATGTCTCAAAGCGCTTCGCAGAATACACTGTAAAGTGAAATGACTGTATACTTTGTGGGTGAAACGCGGAAGCCAATTGCGCACAGCAGCGTCCCCACAAACAGTCATTTTTTTTTAAGGAAACCCTTTACATCTTTCAAGATTACACAGTATTAATGTATAAATCAGATAGGGTGCAATTCAGCTGAATACAGGTCCCTTTTCGGATCTTATTGAATTGACATCTCTAACTTTTCTTTCTCCCAACAGAATGAACTGGAAACAGCCACCAATTTTGTGAAACTTATCGAAAATGCTGACAATGCATTCCAGGTAGTCAGTTAATAGTGGGCGAAGAGTGTTTGCGAGCCTGTTTACAAAAGGCACGGAACGAACTGAACACCTCAGAATAAATAAGTTTATTCTGTGGGCGCAACCACCAGGAAGGTGGAAGGCGAACTGGAAGGACCTTGTTGTTTTTTTTGGCCTGGCATTTCTTACGTTCTTATTATCTGCCCGCAGGTAGACTTGATGGACAATTACCAGAAGTTAGACATTCTGCTCAAGGGACTTCGACGTCATCTTCCATTTACTCGCACGACCCTTGACTGGAACAAAGTCATCAACTCTAAGGTTGTCAAGGAGATGGATCTGGGGCAAGGGCAATGAGGTCCTAAATCCAAAACGTCTCTGAACTTTAATCGAGGATCGCACATTCCAGCATTAAATGTTATGGTTTAACACGCGATGGCTGATTTATTATCTCAAGAGTCAACTTATTCCAAACTAAAGCCCATAGCTGGAAATAATAGCTAGAATAAAACTTACGTCGCCGTCCTGTTTTTTGCAACCTCCACACACGCAAGAGCGACCAGGGCATTTTACATCTTCTCATGCGAGGGTTTCATGAGTACAGGGCAACCGATCTGCACTACTTTTTCATGAGGGATATACATCATTAATTGTGTGGGGTTTACGTCAGAGGCTCGGCTGGGTGGAAGTTCTTCATTTGACTTTCCCAAGCAAACGCGGTTTACCGGAACGTTGAGAGACGTCGCGGGTGTTGTGTTAACGTTACTGATTGTCCCGGTATTAAGCTCGAGCCGGTAGTGTGGAGCAGGGCCACATTGCCTGGCAATTAGTAACTCAACGCATCGCACCATTTGAGGATCAGGCGTGAGCCTGGCTCAGACGGTAGCCCTGACTTCTCAGTTGCGGGTTCAAACCCTGCCCTGGGTCGGGACTTTTAAAGATGTGCATTTGATACAAGCGCCTTGTCTCGGTGCTGAAAACTTCTCAAAGTGCTTCTCAAAGGGATTTGGCTATAAAGTGTAATGACTGCGCAGTTGTAGCCAAAAGCAACGAAAGCACTGGTGGATGGAGTGACCAAACTATATATAAATATACATGTTAAAAAAAATTTGAAGCGATTATAACCTCCGGAAAAGCGATCCGCCAACGTGTGGGCCACTGGCCGTGCGTGCGCAACCGGCTGCCGCGTTTGGCCCAGAAAACGCACAGTCACTACACTTGACGGTTATATTCTGCGAAGCGCTTCGACGTGTCGCGACGATGTGATAAGGCGCCGCCTCAAGTGCAGATTGGGATTACTACAATGATTAATATTATTATCAGTAATATTATTAATATTACTATTATTACCACTGATATCATCAGTGATGTTATTATTATCATTAATATTATTACCGTTATTGATAATATTATTATGAATGTTATTATTATGAATAATATGGTTAATATGAGTATTAATGTCATGACTATTATTATTATTATCATTAATATTATACCCTGAACCTTCACCCCAGTGAATGTGTGTGGGGGGCGGGGCGAGACGAGGGGGGCGGGGCGAGAGGGGGGCGGGGCGAGAGGGGGGCGGGGCGAGAGGCGGGGGCGGGGCGAGGGGAGCGGGTGACGTGGCAGAGGCAGGGGGCGGGGCCAACTCCTCGGGCGCAACCATTAGCGCCGCCTGAGGTGAGGGGTGAGGTCAGGAACAACCCCATCGCGAACAGCGCAGAAATTATAGAAAAAAACAAACTAAAAGTCAACAAAGACCGCGGAACAGCGCGGGTGTGTGTGTGTGTGTGTGTGTGGCGGGCCATAGAGGGTTTGTGGTGGTGGTGGTGGTGGGGAGGTGTGTGAGTTCCCCCCCTCCCGGGGAGTGAGGGGTGTGAGTGAGTGACGAGTGAGTGGTACAGTCGGCGCGGGGTGACGGTAACCATGGCGGCGCCGGGCTCCGAGGTAAGGGACTGAGGGGAAAATGGCGCCTCTCCCCCTCCCCCCCTCACTCTCCCCCTCACTCTCTCTCTCCCTCCCCCCCCTCTCACTCACTCACTCACTCACTCTCTACCCCCCTCTCTCTCTCTGGGGGAGAAGCTCCTCCTCCCCCCCCCACACACACACACAGGGCCCCGGGCCTCAGGCTTCTTCTGGCACTTTCTTTCTCGCTCTCTCTGTCCCTCACTCACTCTCACTCTCTTTCTCTCTCTCTCTCCCTCACTCACTCACTCTCCCTCACTCACTCTCACTCTCTCTCCCTCACTCACTCACTCTCACTCTCTCTCTCTCTCCCTCACTCACTCACTCACTCTCATTCTCTCTCTCACTCACTCTCTCTCACTCTCTCCCTCACTCACTCTCACTCACTCTCTCTCTCCCTCTCTCACTCTCCCTCACTCACTCACTCTCACTCTCCCTCTCTCACTCTCTTTCTCTCTCTCCCTCCCTCACTCACTCTCACTCTCTCTCTCCCTCTCTCACTCTCCCTCACTCACTCACTCTCACTCTCTCACTCTCTTTCTCTCTCTCCCTCCCTCACTCTCACTCACTCTCTCTCTCCCTCTCTCACTCTCCCTCACTCACTCACTCTCACTCTCCCTCTCTCACTCTCTTTTTCTCTCTCCCTCCCTCACTCACTCTCACTCTCTTTCTCTCTCTCTCTCCCTCACTCACTCACTCTCATTCTCTCTCTCACTCTCTCTCACTCTCTCTCCCTCACTCACTCTCACTCTCTTTCACTCTCTCTCTCCCTCACTCACTCTCACTCTCTTTTTCCCTCTCTCTCCCTCACTCACTCTCTTTCACTCTCTCCCTCACTCGCTCTCTTTCACTCTCTCCCTCACTCACTCTCACTCTCTTTCACTCTCACTCTCTCTCCCTCACTCATTCTCACACTCACACTCTCATTCTCTCTCTTTGTTTCACTCTCACTCACTCTCATTCTCACACTCATTTTCACACTCTTGCACTCTCATTTTCTCTCACCCTCTCACTCATTCTCTCTCTCACTCTCACACTCATTCTCACACTCTCTCTTTCACTCTCACTCACTCACTCATTATCACACTCACTCCCATTCTCTCTCTCTCACTCTTCACTCACGCTCTCTCTTTCACGCTTTCACTCTCATTCTCTCACTCTCTCTCACTCGCTCTCATTCACTCACACACTCACACACACACACCAACTCACTCATTTACTCTCATTCGCTCACACACTCTCGGTCGCTCACTCACTCACTCACTCAAACAATCTCATTCTTATTAAATCTGTATCTTTAATTAATTCCTGTGATACAGAAACGATGTTCCTCAAGTGATTCACTCCTGAAATAAAACATAAATCACTTCAATCCACGACTGTTTGTTTGTGGGGACGCTGCTGTGCGCAATCGGCCGTCGCGTTTCGCTCCCCCCCGAAAAACACACAGTCAATTCACTTTACAGTGTATTCTGTGAAGCGCTTTGAGACATCTCGAAGACGTAATCAGGCGCTGTATCAAATGCCAGGATTACTGTGTTATAAATTTGCCTCTAATGGAACATATTAGAGTTCCATTGGAGGCAATTCCAAGCAGAGTTTGATTCCCGGCCGGGCGGATACCTCGGGCAAGTTTCCTCACTCCACCCACCTGATAATCCCTCAAGAAAGAAACAATAATAATTTGGTCACTTCAATTCACGACCGTGGGACGCTGCTGAGCTCAATCGGCTGCCGCGTTTCGCCCACAAAATATACAGTCATTTCGCTTTACGGTATATTCTGTGAAGCGCTTTGAGACATCTCGGAGACGTGATAAGGCGCTGTATCAAATGCGAGGATTATTATTATTATATTTGTTTGCATGAAAAGCTAAAATGGGTCATATTGTCAATGAGGTAGACTCCACTTTGAACAGCTTCACCCTCCGAAATTGGCTGATAAGGCAATCCACTGGTGTGAAGACATTTTTAACTTGAATTTAATCACTGCAAACACGCTGCTTTAGTTGGAAAGATGGTACTGCACTCGAAACTGCCTCTGCCCAGTCAAACAGTCTGCCAGCACTTCGCCATCTCGCCTTTTACTGGAAAAACTGTCACTTATATAAAGTGGCTGTAGAGCAAGAACCAGAGCCATGAGGAGAGATGGGATGAAAATTGAAAGGTGGAGAGGAATTAAGGAATCAATAGCACCAAATTGAGAAATTATTTAGTCATCTCACTCAGAGAAATTGCAACCTCACACATTGGTACAATTTCCATGTTAGTCCATTTGGGGGGGTGCGGGGGTCAGGCTTTTAGGTATGCGCTTGAGCCTTTTGAGTATCAGGGAAACAAATTGCTGTGAGCTCAAAACATTTAATATTCATAATAATCCTTGCATTCGATATAGCGCCTTATCAAGTCGCTGAGACGTCTCAAAGCGCTTCATAGAATATACTGTAAAGTGGATTAACTGTATATTTTCTGAACAGCAGTGTCCCACAACTCATGGATTGAGTGACCAAATTATAATTATTTTTTCCTTATTAAAAACTTAACACTGTGACATTGATAATGTATGCTTTTATGCAGCAACGATGAAATTGAGGGATAGGCAGTCACCTGTAAAGGGAAGCTTGAGAAGGTTATGTCGTCTGAATGGATTTCTATGATGGATGGATGGCTTGAGGACAAACTACTTTATCCAATGAATAAAGGAAATTCTATTCTCTTCCTTGGAGGTGCTGACTGATTCCGAGGATATTGCTGGGATCTACAGAGAATTGAGCAGGTTCCCATTCCTGGCCAAAGCGTGCATTGGACCCGAGGTCATTTCCCAGTATGGTGGGAAATACTGCAATATCCACACAGGTATGTACAGTCAGGAGGAAGGAACGTTACTGTGTAAGAGCACATCGGAAAATTTAAATTCTGTGCAGCGACGACTGCTTCGGGGTTAGACTTGATTGAGGTCCTTTTCATACAAACTTAAACTTTTTGTGTATCGGAAAGGTTAACGTGATTTTAATTGGATGGATGTCGTACTTCTATTGCATGTAGTTGCTACGTTTAAGTTCTTAATCAGTGGCGGACATCTGTGTAGATTCTTTTTAGAGGATTTCATTTCACAGGTACCGCGAAATTGCGTTTTTTTTCTGCTGACTACTGTCACGGTTACGAAGTATTGCAGAGCTCACCAGAAAACCTGCCCCTTAAGATAAATCCTTGCTGTAGACAGTAATAGAGAGGAACGGATCATGTAAATGTACAAAAAGCCTGATCAGAGTAATCTCTTCAGTGTGTGAGAGTTCAAGGAAAAAAAGACCTTTCTGTTCATTTGTCGTTCTGCTCTAGAATGGACGCAGAGGGACCTGGAGCGAGTCGAGCGGGTGAATTTCTGTCGGCAGTACATCATATTCTACGATGAAAATTCCATTGTGTACACCGGCCCTTCAGGAAACTGCACTGAGCTACAGAGCGAGTAAGTGAAGCAATAGTTACATGCAATAACTTCAACACACTGAAGTGCTTTGAGACGTCTCGAAGACGCGATATCAAAGTTGCTATATCAAATGCAAGGATTATTATTAGTATTGTCATACATTTGACTCTGCACCACACGATCTCGGAGAGTGTTCCATTCCCGGGTGCCAACATCCCCAACTAGACGATCACAGCATTCAACCGGAACACTGCTGTACACTGTCACAGCTCTTTACAGTGTATTCGGTGAAGCGCTTTGAGGCATCTCAACAACGTGACAAAGCCCTATATCAAATGCAAGGATTATTATAATGCTGATAGAAAGAAAAGCTGTAGTATTGACACTTACTGGTAAATAATTTGATTGCTTATAAAATAAAATAATTTTAGGCAGGCTCTTGTGCCACTGGATTCCTCAAAGTATTCAATGAGGTATAAATATATATCTTGCATCGATACAGGACCTACAATATCATACATCCCATTGTACCCACAAATGCAAGGAGTTTTTTTAACCTCACAATGTAGTAGAGATGCTTCCAGTGAAATATATCACATGGATCCTGTAACAGGATAATTAGTGTGTTTGCAGTGCTCTGTTTACATTAAAAAGGATATTATTTTGTTCTTACTTTTGACCCGTAGGTTGTTGAGCAGAGAGTCGCCATCTGGTTCTTTAAGGGCTGTTCTACGGGAGCATACCAACAAGAAGGGAGAGGAAAAGCAGTTTCTGGAGGTACCTATTATTATTATTATTATTACTATTACCTACCTAATTGCAGCAGAATATTGGTTTGTTATAAAGCTCAACTCTGGAACTCTCTCCCTCAATCCCTCCGCCTTACTCCTCCCTCCCCACGTTCAAATCCCACCTAAAGACCTTCCTTTTTGATCGTGCTTATGGTAGTTTTGACAGTGTCTCCATCCCCATCTTACAGCAGTATAAACACAGTGGGTGTAAAGTGATCTTCGGGCAGCCCAAGTATATCTAAGGGACATTTGGTTTCATGTTATTAAACAGTGGATTGAATGGTCAGGTATTTAATATTTAAAATGAATACCCATGGACATTCATGGAACTCTAAAATCCGGTGTTAAGCAGCCCCGCCACTAATTATTCTTATTGAGACTATAAAGTATCATTGTTTGTTTGCTACCTGTGAAAAAACATGTGGCTGTTCTTACTTATACAGATCTGGAACAGAAACTCAAAGGAGAAGAGCATAGACCTGACTAGCCTTGACAAACATGGCAAGGTGTATGAAGATGGTATGACATGAACACGTTCAGTTCCAAAACATCGGTGCTTAGCTTCTGAGTCAACAGGAGAAACAGCCGAGATAGTTTGGATATTAATTGAGGCAAAGTTGGGAAGTTTACCATTTTATCCTCCTTTGCAGCAAAAGCAGGAAACCATCAGACTCTTATATAGCCAAGGCTAAAAATAGCGCTGATAACATGGAACAGGGAGAAGAAAAGAGCATGTTACTCTTGTTCGAGAGGATTGAGCACGAAAAACATATCTGCCTCAAAATGTTTGCACTGTGGTTTGTAAATTTAGCTTAACATTAAATATGATGGTGACATCCAGTGGTGGAATATCAATGCTGCACCAATCTGCTCTGTTATGTTGACAGATTGGCTAATTAGAGAAATTTTCAGATGTGCTCGGAGTCTTCTTCAGACTCCGCCACTCTCAAGCACTCCAGGATGCTACCTCGCGCGAAGGACGCTATATGAATGCAAGTTGTCATTGCCGTTGTTGTTTATAGTCCCCATACAGTGTTGTAATATTCTTTTAATATGACCCCTGTTTTGCCTCCCCCCTCCCCACCATCCTCACCCATCAACTCACCTAGGTCAGTTCGGCTGCCTTGTGTGGTCTCACTCCGAGTCTCACATTCTCTACATCGCTGAAAAGAAAAGACCGAAAACGGAATCGTTCTTCCAGAGCAAATCCGAGTTGCGTGTGAACGACGAGGACGAAGACTGCGTCAAACAGACTGCGGAGAGAAGGGAGAAACCGTTGAAGGTACAGTACAACAAACAACTTGCATTTATGTAGCTTCCCTCATGCAGGGCAGCATCCTGGAGCGCTTTAGGCTATTCTCATGTAATATCGACTGGTTTTTGCACGACCCAGTAGAGATTAGAGTTCAGAACAGGAGATGGGATAGGAGGGAGAAGATCAAGTTAGTGCAAATTGCTGCTGTTTATTGAGATTCAATACTGATAGAGGGTGAGGAATCAATCATGAAGTCCTTGGAGAGGATGACAGCTTTATGGTGTGCAACAGTGGTGGCATTTACAGCGTCAGTCAGAGCAGTTTGGGTTTCGGATACCCAATTAATCGTTTCTTTCATTTAGTTTTAGTGAGAGTTTTGTTTTAGAAAAAACTTCCTTTGATAGGAAAGGAAATCATGAAACCTCCCTCATCCTTCAACTGAAGGTACAGAGTCTTTTTGGAAGCCATAAGAATATCATTTGTACTTACGCAAGGATTATTATGTAGCATCATCGTGAAGGAGATGAATAATCAGCAGTAAATCTCTGAATTGCATTACTGACCCATGAAAGATCATTCAGTGAAGATTCACAAAACTTAGCTGAATGTAACTAGACAAGTTCCTGTCAACTAAAAATATTTAAGGTCCTTAATTTGAGAGATGGACATATCAAAGGGATTTTGTAGTAATTGCGTGGACTGATCTACTGCTGCCTGAATCCATTATTTATGATAGATATACAGGCTTGATGGATCTGTTCAAAGATAATGTTCCCAAGATTGCAATTAAGACTGGAAACCCGTCCTTTGGTAGAATATTTTTGTATCCATTTATCTTTATAATCTTCTATTACATTCCCAGTCAGATGTTGCTTCTATCATTTTATAAAGCAGCTAATCAGTATGAGATCCTTTGATGGATCTGACTGCTTTGATTTTGCTCGTGAGAACAGACTAGAGGGCATAATTTTAACATTAAAAGCCTAAAATGAGAGTCTAGATTAAGAGCAATGCTATCTCCTAGGGAGTAGTACATCTGTGGAAAAGACTTACACCCTGATCCAGTGATTCCTTTGAAAAAACAATGGAGTGGTATCTTTTGTGAATGGCATTGGAGGATATATAGAGATAGGCATTATTATTAATAAAAGTAATCCTTGCATTTGATACAGCGCCTTATCACATCTTCGAGGCGTCTCAAAGCACTTTGCAGAATACACTGTAAGTGAATTGACTGTGTATTTTGTGAGTGATAGTTAGTTTGCATGCTGTACGACGTACAAACTCAGTGCTCTAGAAGTTACGAGTCACTAAGCTTAAGTTGAGATATGAAACATCAGTCCGGTTGGGTAAGTCCATGGCAGTTTCAGTTGAACCTTTAACTTGCTTTTTTATCTTACAGGGCGATCAGTTTGTGTATTGGGAGGATTGGGGAGAAGCCTTGGTGAACAAGAGCATCCCTGTCCTGTGTGTCCTGGACATTGAGAGTAACAATATCTCTGTATTGGAGGGGATACCTGAACACACATCACCTGGGCAGGTTTGTGCGTTGTTTAATATATGCTTCCCCCCCCCCCCCACCATAATAAACCAGAAGCCATCTTTCTGAACCTGACTCTAATAGAGTTTCTTTTTCGAATGTAAACAACAACTTTTCCGCCAAACACATCAGATTAACTTTACGCAATGAATCTGCTGCTCCAGTAATTCGGACACTTCTGCTGCAAGAACTATAATAATAATAAAAAAAATCTTGCATTTGATATAATGCCTCATCACGTCTTCGAGATGTCTCAAAGCGCTTCACAGAATACACCGTAAAGTCTAGTGACTGCATATATCATGGGCGAAATGTGGCAGCCAATTGCGCACAGCAGTGTCCCACAAGCAGTTGTGGATTGAGTGGCCAAATTATAATTATTATTTATTTCTGAAGCAATTATGACATTATTATTACTATTGCCTCCTTTCATTCTTTCTTTCTGAGTGCTTATACTGTTGTGAAATGGAGACCTTATAGCTTACTGCCTCTATCTTACCTCACGGGGATGTCTTCCTGACGTGAAACCTGCTATACAAACGTGATTTGTTGTTGTTATTTTTATGTTTCAGGCATTTTGGGCCCCTAATGACACTGGTATTGTGTTTGTCGGCTGGGGACATGAGACACAGCGTCTGGGCCTTGTTTTCTGCACCAACAGAAAGTAAGAGGAAACCTTTAAGCACAAATTGTCCATAATATAATGATAATAATCCTTGCATTTGATATGGCGCCTTATCATGTTTTTGAACATTCAAAGCACTTCACACAACATCCCGTAAAGTGAATTGACTATATTTTGAGGGCCAATCGCAGCAGTCAATTGCGCACAGCAGCGTCCCCACAAACAGTCGTGGATTGAGTAACCAAATTATTATTATTTAAAAAAAATTTGAAAAGATTATTAACCCCGGAAAAACGATCCGCCAATCGACTAACAACCGGGTTCCTATTTACTGGTAAGTGAATAGAGACGTGTGGAGTAAAGAAAACTTGCCCAACATTTCACCCTGCCTAGGAAACGAACTCAGGTCCTCTGGATTGCGAGGCATGTGCTCTAACTTCTGAGCTACAGGAATCCTAAAACTGTTAGGATCTCATTCTGAAAGAAATTGCAGCTGTGTTGAGTTATTTGATGAATCTCTGCAAAAAAATATTTCTGAAGATGCACCACTGCATCAGCATATCAAAATAACATATTATCTTGTAAGTTACATGATTTATCTATCTCATATTACATCGCTTTAGCCAACTTGATGATAACTAAATGGTGATATGGCCAATAGCCAAGATGAGAGACATTTCTCTTCATTAATATAACTAGAATAAGGTGCAATAATAATAAGTGCATTATAATGTCTGCAGCTGTGTTGCTCCAAAAGCTTATCTTTTTTAATAGATTTTTTTATATTATCTAACGTTTCACCCACAAAATATACAGTCAATTCACTTGACAGTATATTCTGTGAAGCACTTTGAGATGCCTCGAAGATGTGATAAGGCGCTATATCAAATGCAAGGATTATTATTATTATTATAAGATCTGGAAATGAAACCTCTGCTAATTTCTACTGACCAAATCTGCATTTGGTGTTATGACAACTTATTTTAAACATGACTCTGTTTGGCCCTGGGCACTTCTGGTTCCATTCCCTTATCTCTTTATTTATTCATTTATTTGAAATCTTCCATGATTTATTTTTCTGTTTATTTATCCTCTGGAGACTGATGATCCTTATTGAGTTTGTGTTATTTTATTCTTAAAGTTGACTGGAAAGAGCCTCGTGTCATACCTCGTGAATTAAGTATACAGTGATTTTTAAAAAAAAGAGTTGATTATGTAAAGGACAAAAATAAATCAACTGATGTTGTACTAATGAAATATTGTTCCCTCGACTTTTTCTATTTCCTTTTCCTGTCTTTACACACTTAAAACTCCCTCTATAATAGCAAGTACCCCACAAAAATCGTCTGTATAACACCCTTTCCTCAGAATATGTAGGGAACCTGTGCGTTTAATTTTTAATTAATAATATCATTGATTTATGTAGGTCTGGTCTGTACTATGTGGATCTGACAAGTGGTAACTGTGGTAAGTTCTCCTCTATGGTTTAGCTCCTTCTATTTTGCTGTTAATATTGTCTGTTTTGAGGTGCAATTTGTTTTCACAGCAGTAGAAGCAGAGAGCAGAGTCAATGGTTGCCTGAAGTCCTTACAGTCCCATGCACTCACAGTAGAATGTACGTCATACAATCGACTTGTATAGTACAATGTATTGGGGAGCGGAAAATAGCTGAGGTCACAACTATTGCAGCCCACACATTTGCACCTTCCAGCGGGGGTCACTGGATAGTGATCGCATGTGGGGAAATTGCCTGATCTTGTCTTTAACCCAGGGCACAGGGCCAGTTGTACTGCCCCCATACTCATCATAGAAACAGGAGGAGGCCATTCAGCCCCTCGAGCCTGTTCCGTCATTCCTATAAGATCATGGCTGGTCTGCACCTCAAGTCCAATTACTCGCCCTTGCCTCCTATCCCCCTTAATACCCTGGCCTAACAAATATTTATCCATCTCAGTCTTGAAGATGTGAATGGATCCAGCATCCACAGCCTTTTGGGGGAGAAAGAGAGTTCCAGATTTCCAGTATCCTTTGGGTGAAAAACTGCCTCCTGATTTCACTCCTAAATGGCCCCTTGTTCTGGATTCCTCAACCAAAGATCAGCTAGTTCACCACAGATTGAGGACTGAACCGTCACAGTCTTTTACTCAGCTACTCACTGGATGAATTTAGGCTCGCTGTGTGGTGGTAGCTTTAGAGAGCAGGCATTATCTTCATTAGCAAGATTTTGGCCGATTGTTTTCTTGTTTAGGGAGGGAAAACAGCCAGAGCAACATTTTCAGCACAATGACCTCTCGAGTAAGTAATGCAGTGATATTTAAATTTTGGTACCATTCCATCGATTAACTGCACTTGTTGGATTGACTTAAAAAAAATGTTTTCATTATGTGACAGCCCATAAAAAGATAAAAGAAGACAATCACACCCGTTATCCCAATTAGGTTTTCTTTTGTAATTGCGTGTTCCTCTCTCCCACAGTGGGGCTAACCTCCCAAGCCAATGCAGTCGTGTCTCCTCGGCTCAGTCCTGACAAGTGTCGGATTGTCTACCTTGAAAGAGAAGCAGGTGGACCCCACCACCAGTGCTGTAGACTCCGCATGGTGAGTGTTTGACTGGGTTAAAAAAAACGCCAGGACGGGTTATGCTGGTGGCTCAGGATATTTATTCCGTCAGTAACTCAACCGTACAGAGAGGTTTGATAGCTGACCTGACCTGAGTTCATTGATCAAGCGCTTTGAGACGTTTCAACAACGTGATAAGGCGCCATATCAAATGCAAGGATTATTATTATTTATTATCTCTGCCAGGGTCGCATTACAACACCCAACAACTGCATTTAAATAGCGCCCCTTCACACGAGGTAGCGCCTTGGAGGGCTTCACAGTGGCAGAGTCTAACAACGAGCGAGGGGGAGAGGGTGGGTAGAAGAATCTGGCCATAAGTAAACTAATCTGGGCCTGGTGAATCACTTTAAAAAAGTAGTAAATCTCGCTCAATGTTGGAATTTATCCAACAGAATCCAGAATTTTTCTTCATGGAAGAAGTGCTCAATTTCAAAAGGTTTGAGTAATGATAATGTGCTCTCTGTAAGTCCACTTTTAAAAAAAGGATGTTGGAGATGTTCCGGGGATTAAAACGCACCCTAGTATCTGTCAGTATATGTTGTCAGTAAACAACCGCAGCATCCCTCATCTCTGTATCCTCATTTGTTTAAGAAAAATGTGTTCTTTTACAGTACGACTGGTACACGAAAATAACCTCCACTGTGGTGGACATAGTCAATCGACCGACTGAAGGTATGTGACATAAACAGCAGTTGTAAAAAAAAATATTGGAGGATTCACAGTGAAGTAATTATGATAATGGAGAAGATGACACATTCTAGACTGTACTTGGATCACTTGGCACTGAGCTTCTTGGTCTGTGATGGGTTTTCAGATGGATTTACTGGCATTTACTCTGGGAGTTTGGCTCAGAACTGCTGGACGATGAACAGCCAGCGTCTACTCATCGACACGCAACAGAACAGCAGAAAGGTAACTGAATCGACAGCGCGCAACAAGTTGGAAACAGCAAAAATATTAGGGTGGGAATGTGGAATATGAGTAGCTCCTGGGGATGAGAAACAACATTTTTAGGGCTAGGTTCTTCATGTGCGCATCCAAGAGCAAGATGTTAATTCAACCACAGGGATGATCGACTGAACAGTGCTAAGTTCTGTAATCATATATCTATCTATCTGCAGTCAGGTATCTAGTTTCAAGCACAACGATCACTGAATCCTATGCCTTTCCCTCCTCAGGATCTCTTTGTAATAGATATTGCGACAGGATCCATCACATCGCTCACCAGCAGTAAGTCACTTGTGAAGACAACTCAACGTTTTCTCAAAAGAATCTTAATTACGACGACTGCATTACGGTTTATATTAACGCATCAATATCACCTGTAGGTTTATGTAGCACTTTTCTAGAACCAACAAAGGCTTCAGTAACTCTCAATTCCACTTGTTGTGTTGCAGGTTCTGAGATTGGGAGCTGGACCCTGCTGGACATTCAACGCGACATAATGGTAGTCAGTTGTTCAGCACCTAACTGCCCCCCATGTCTGGTAAGATTGTCGTTAGCAGAAGTTCCATCCAGTTCCGTCCTTGATCAATATTAAAGGAGGCCATCTCATTAGTATCTGTCATGGGTTGTGGACTAGCTACGTGAGGGGCAGTTGTGTTGGTTCTTTTCCAACTCCCAACGATTTGCATCTATGTAGCGTCCCTCAGGCAGGGTAGCGTCCCAGAGCGCTTGACAGAGATGGAGCACGACGCTGAGCCGGGGGGAGGTGGGGGATGACCGTAGGCACGGTCGAATAGGAAGGTCTTCGGGCGTGATCTGAAGATTGGGAAAGTAGGGGCGAGGTGGAGGGATTCCAGGGTTCCGTTTTCTCTCCAAAACTTCCTCTGTCGAAGGGGAAGCGTAGAAGAGCTAGCCACAGTAAAGATGTGTAAGGCCATGTGATAGAATGACTGGCAAACTGATACTGAGATTCTTCAGTCTCTGTCCTATTGATGATTAAGTGGTCCTCTGGTTTAATGGACCTAGTTTACATAAGTTGAAATGAATCTTCGGCAATTGCAGCTGCATTTTCTCACTTCGTCTCTCCTCTGAGTCGCTCCCAACGTCCTTATATTGATTATCTGTAGATATCTTGTGTCCTTTCCTTAATTCATGTCTTATGAGCGTGTGACACTGAAGGAACAATCACAACATTGCAATCTGTAGATCATCCATTTCGTGATGACAGTTCACAGTGAACACCGGGAAGTTAATGATTGTGCTCTTATTACTGCAAGTTCATGTAGAATCCAATTGCGGTCAATGAGATGGCAGTGCTGTGGCTGTTATCTGATTTCATACATTATACATCTTCCTTAAGAGCTGGAATCGTAAAGCTATTTTCGTGCATTTTTTCAAGTTACTATTTTAAAATTGCATTTTTTCATCTTTATTAATTGCCGAACTTCAAGGGCTATTGTTTCTGTCATACTTTCCTGTCTGTACTCGCTTTGAAATTGTGCAGAAAGTGTAATTTGTTCCTATTTGTACATTGTGTTAAGTGAATGTAATAGAGGCCCTATCAGACAGTTGTTTCTTTCCTGTAGAAAGTAGGCATCCTTCCAGCTGCAGGAAGCGAGCAAGAGGTTACCTGGGTAGCATTAGATGAAGCCGAACGTTTACCTGACATAGAGTGGCAGATCCTAACTTTCACACCTCCGTGTGGACAGGAACATCCTAAGTTCCGTAAGTCAAGGCTTCCGTTAACTTGTCGCTTTGCATTTGTACTCGTGCTGTTTTCTATTTCATCCGTTGATCTAACATTTGTTTCCTTTCTTCGATGTATTTATTTCTTAATTTCCATTCATTTCCAGTTGTTATTTTTGGGCTTTGACTTCATGTTCAAATCCCTTCACTCTCTGGCACCTACCTCTCCCTACCTCTTCGACCTCCTCACTCCCCAATCCACCACCAGGCTACTCCGCTCGACTGGCACCGGTCTCCTGCTCATCCCTTGCGCCCTCCGCCCCACCATCGGAGGTCACGCTTTCAGCCATTACACCCCAAAACTATGGAACACTCTCCCTCAATCTCTCCGCCTTGCCCACTCTCTCCCCTTTTTCAAGCACGCAATAACGGGTTTGTCAGCTTTTTTTTCTCCTTCCTGATATGACAGGGTCAAACACGCTGTTTCTCACACCAGCAAGCTTTTAATTCAGCAAGTCACAACAGTGCATATTGTAGACCAGTGGGGGAACTGACAGATTTACCACAGGGTGATGGCAAATTCAGGCACCCAGCAGAGCTGCGACTGTGAAATGATAGATATGCATGAGTCGATGCATGAATTGGCCACGTTTTCACCTTTGATTTCAGTCGTCTTGGCAAAATAGGGGAGAAAAATGCTGACTTATATTGCAGCTCCAGTGCTTAATACTGCCTCAAAGATCATAGGGCAAGAAATACAGACATGGCCATAAATTTGTAATGGTAAAGTCAGATTTAACCAGGTTAGACATTGCTGACATAGAATAGCTGAGATCTGAGAGAGGACAAAACTAGTTGATGAGCTGTAATGTTGACCTTTATTAAGACTGCAAGTCTTTGGTCTTGCAGATAGATTTAAACCTTCATCTTTGTCGTAAATCAGTTTGTTTTGTTTGCTTTTCATCCAGCTGCCATGGATTTTGAAGTTGTTCTGTTAACACCAGAGAAGGGGAAGGAAGGCTCCCTCCCTCCACTTGTTGTCTCTCCACACGGTGAGTGAAAATGGTGAGGTGTAGAGCCGCAGAAATGAGATGGTGCGGAGTGAACGGGGAATTGAGACATCGTCTTGTGAAGTGATGGAATCGTGTGATCGTTATGCATCCCTTCCTTGTAGGCTGGAAAGCTTCATGTGTTACTGTATCTCAGTGCTATAAAGTTAGGATTGATAGGCACGTCCTCTGACGATCAACACAAATCTCTGAAAAGCAGCAACACTGAGAATTAGCCATTTTCACTCTTAGTATTTGTGGTATTTCGCAGTTTCATAGATTTCTTTCCTTTCTAAAAAAACTACTGAATAATAATCACTGTATTCAGGCTCGTGAGACAAAGATTTAGCTGTATTGCGCAGGATTACTACATTGGATCCTTTGTCTCCTCTCCCTTGCTGAATCTTAGTCCTTCTTTGTCAACAAGGACCAATGTAATCTCATGCCAATGATCTGAAACAGAGATTGTTTTATAATATATAGTCATCAATGCTTCCACTAGAGAGGAATCTTAAACTTAACCTCAGATCACTCTTAAGAATTGAATGTCTCTTCATAGAGGATGCATGGGGTGAGAGAAGTGACCAGAATACTTTGCCTTTATTGTGCTTTATTAGCAGAATGGCCAAGTGATGGCAAGTAAAGGGGGAAAGGGTAGCACTGGGTAATTTGGCTACAAAATTGAAGTTACTTTTCAATAAATCTCATGAAGCGCTTTGAGATGTCCTCCCAATTTGAAAAATGCTATATCAAATGTAAGGATTATTTATTATTATTATTATATTGCTGGTAGACTAACACTTAGTTTTGTTGTGCAGGTGGACCACACTCAGTATTCACAGCAGAATGGATGCTCTATCCCATTGCTCTCTGCAAGCTAGGATTTGCTGTGTTGCTGGGTAAGTAATTCACGAGCTGAACCAGTGGTAAACCGCAAACTACCTTCGTAATGTCAGCCTCGATCATTTTTGGGTGCTCCTGAGCAAACGTGGAGCTGGGTAATAGGGGTGGGAAACAAAATCAGGAAACAAGTTAACTCACATTGCTCTGCGTGCCTCCTAGTGGCTATTTCAAGTGTTAGTACTTGCACTATCCAGGTAACATCAGGGTCCTTTTAGAATCGGAGTGTCCCGCGGTTAAGCTTTCCCAAGAAAATTGATTTTTTTAAAAAAAATAAACTATAGTAGAACAGAACTGATGGGTTCAATTAGAACCAATCGAAGTATAAACATGAATTATAATCACAAATCATTGCATCATTTCTTAAGGTTGTGCTCCAAAGGGCATGCTAACATTACTGAGCAATCTGAAGGAAATGAAAACCCAAAATCTATTTCGCCCACAGTCAATTCACTTTACAGTGTACCCTGTGAAGCGCTTTGAGACGTCTCGAAGACGTGATAAGACGCTGTGTCAAATGCAAGGATTATTATATCCATAAGATATAATTCAAGAGAATTGTGTTGTGTTTGATGGGAGATTGCTTTACCAAGGATGAGGAGAATCTGAAGTGCAGAGTAGCGAGTCATGTAAATCTGACTGACGGCCTTTATCTTGCAGTGAACTACAGAGGCTCAAGTGGGTTTGGGCAGGACAACATTTACTCACTGCTTGGCAGGATAGGAAGCCAAGATGTGAAGGATGTGCAGGTAACAAACTGGGCACTTCCGGGAGCAATACTCCCTTCAAAAAAAAAAATAATAATTTGATCACTCAATCCACGACTGTTTGTGGGTCGCCCACAAAATATAGTCAAATCACTTAACGGTATATTCCGTGAAGCGCTTTGAGACGTGTCGAAGACGTGATAAGTATCAAATGCAAGGATTATTATTATTATTTTCTGCTATTGAAAATATTCATCACAGAAACTTCCCTTTGGTTTCAGTATTCAGTGGAGCAGGTGTTGAAAATGAAATTGGCCGATCCTTCGAAGGTCTTTGTAACTGGAGGCTCACACGGAGGTTTTCTTGCCAGCCACTTGGTGGGACAGTATCCTAATTTCTACAAGGCCTGTGCCACGCTCAACCCAGTCATTAACATTGTCTCCATGTTGGCAACCACAGATATTCCAGACTGGTGGGTTGTAGACTTTGTTTTGTTGCCGAAATTTCTCTAAGCCATCATCATCATCCCTTTTGGAGGAGGCAGTTTAGTTTTTTAATATTAAAACCAATTATGAGAGCAATTAACTAGCCTTAATAGAAATAATATGGAACTATTTAAACATTAGTTAACATTAATATCCTGATATTGAGACTGAAGTGTTCCCGATCTAGTGTTTTTTGGACTCTGCCACCTTGCCTACCTTTACAATATTACTGTAAGGTTCCCTCCAGCTGTCCCAACAGAGGACATTAGCTCCAATCTAGGAAGAATATGGCTTGTTTGCTCCAGTGTGACAGTTCAATTTTGCTAACACCACCTGTGTCCTTTCTGAGTAAGATTGCAGTGTAAGCCTAGTCCGAACTAAGAACTTGTCCATGAGAGTGAAGGAGGGATCCGATCAGTCTCCACTGAATTCAACCTCCGAGGTGAAAGGACAGAGCATTGACCTACATCACCATAACATAACAACATGTAGGAGCAGGAGTAGGCCATTCGGCCCTTTGAGCCTGCCCCGCCATTCAATCTTGATCTTCTAATCTACTCCAGCTAACCATCCACTCTCACAACACATATCTTTCAAAATAATATGATATTCCCCTTAATGTATTGGCCTACTCTCCAAGGGTGAGGTCAAAGTGTAGACTTGATGGTAACTTAGCACATAAGAAATGCTAGACGAGAAAAAGACCAAGGTCCATCTAGTTTGCCTTCCACCTTCCTGGCGGTCGCATGCACATATGTCCCAAACTACGTCCCATAATGTTATTTCCTAAAAGAAAACGATCTAATCTGTGTTTGAAGGAAACAACACTTCTATGAATTTTATGTATTATTTTTTATTTGCAATTACTTACTGGAGCTTATTGCCTATGATAGACCTAAGAGAATAGGCAAAGAAACATCTTGTGTGAGCCAATAAGAGCTATACACTTGTCAATGTGAACGCTAAATTCAATAGTTCCCCTGCAATTTTGTGCACTTAATTGCTGTAATCGGAAATATGATTAAACCGTTGCAGCTATGTATTATTTTGTATACTTTTCCCCTAGGTGTACAGTTGAAGCTGGCTTTAATTATACAGTTGGTCAGATTCCTACCCCTCCTATCTTAGAGGCAATGTTGAAAAAATCACCAATTTCACACGCCTCTCAGGTAAGAATTGTATTATTTTTCCTCTGGTTCAAGTACATACAGTGTTTAGTAACGAACCGTAGGTCATTTCATTGCAACGCGGTTGCACTACTGCATGTTATTTTGACAATCAGTGAACAAAAGCACAATTTAAATGATGGATCTTGTGGCCAGATTTGCAACCGATGTGACCTTTGAAGATGGGGCTGTATCATAGACATGGCCCTGTCGCTCTCTGACTCCATGTTCACATCTAAAATGATTGCTATGAACCAACAAACATTGTAGTGCCCTTCCACGTGTTCCAGGCAGGAACAGGATGATGGAATTTATCCGTGACATTCCTTGTCTGATGGTATAGGCTTCTTGCTTGTGTGTTGTTGGTGGTTCAGTGTGAGAATTGACTTGTTCCTTCCCCATCTCTCTTTCCCACAGATAAAAACACCACTTTTAATCCTGTTGGGTGAGAAGGATAAGAGGGTTCCTCCCTCCCAGGGTCTCGAGCTCTATCGAACAGTGAAGGCCAGGGGCGGTGTTGTACGGTACGTCTGGGATAGAGCAGATGGAAGGAATTCCATATTATCAGTATCTTTTATCAACCTGTCCGCTCCCCCTGCTCAGCAGGCTCCGGCCTGCTCCACGTCCCCTGACCAGCCCGCCCCACCATCGACAGTCAGGCTTTCAGTCTCTCCGCCTACCCTTTGGAACTCCTTCTCACATTCCCTTTGCCTCATCCCCTCACTTGCCTCCTTCAAGGCATGTCTCAAGACGCTCCTTCGGCCACCCTCGCTGTCCTCCTGATCCCAAACCCCCTCCCCTGCTCGGGTCCAAATGTCCAGGACCTTGGGATGTCCTCCCAACGTGAAAAGCGCTACACAAATGTAATTTGATATTGTTTTGTGTCTATAATTGACCAGAATGAAAGAGTAAGAATGGGGTGAGTTACATTTATTCCATAAATATGCTGCATAAATATCACGATTAAGTTCCTTTGTGAATTGCAAGTTACAGATCATCGGCAAATATAAGGGACAAAGTACCTTGAATGTAGTTTAGACGTATGATGTGGCAGGTAATAATTCAAGTGAGCAGTTCTGATTGGGTCATAAAACTGCAAGTAATTTAGTGATTTATTGACAACTGGGGAATAAGGAGGTTGAATTATGCCCAAACTCTCCCGTCAGATGATATTTATATAGTTTGTTCTTAAATTTGGGAATGTTTGCTAAGTGCAAGCACAGTACAGAAGCATATGTAAGTGGGCAATAAAGATAGTGACATTTGATCTTCAGGCAAATGGCATTGCAAGGATAGCAAGACAATACCGTTTCTCCTTTAATATTGTTAGTTAGGCCCCCAGTGTCACTGCCTCGGGTTTCCAAGTCGGGTACAATACAGTCAGACTCGGAATAAAGTGGCCCTTCACTCCGTTTCAACGGTGTACCTCAATTCTTCATCAGAAGACACACCCGAATAGATCCCACATTCCCTTCGCCTCGCCCCCTCCCTCGCCACCTTCAAAGCCCGTCTCAAGACTCTCCTCTTCGACCGTGTCTTCGGCCACCCACCTACCTCTACCCTCCCTCCCTTATCCTAACCCCCCGCTCGAGTCCAAATCCCTGACTTTCCAGGTCCCGACGTGAAAGGCGCTGTGTAAATGTCGTTTTGTATTGTATAAAATGAGCTGAACCTTGTTATTTTGCAGGTTATTGTGGTATCCTGAAAACAACCACCATATTTCCAAAGTTGACGCTGAGGCCGATGTATTCATGAATATCGCTCTCTGGTTTGTTAACCGTCTCTAATCTTAACGCCCACTTCCCTTCATGCTCTCTCCCCCCCCACCACCACCCCCCACAATCACCACCATGTGATTCAAGACAAATTATTGTTGTGAAAATACGGTACAAGCAGCAGTCAGGAGTCGGTCAGAGCAGAGAGCAAAATGGACGGTCTCGCAGCTAAGATACCCAACAGTCCCCGTGTTTCTCTATCCTAGAATCGTATGTTTCATGTCAGGCATTTGTAGCCCACAGCTTAAGGCCACAGTTTGAGACCATTTTCAGACTGAATCAGTTCGTTATAATTTTACATGAACCGCACATCATTTAATGGACGTAAAACTTTAATCACCAGCTTTGTTTAAAGGCAACATCAATCAAACCGTATATTTTCCAAGATCTGAAGGACAACCTTGTTCTGACGACCCTCGCTGGAATGCGGGTTTACTTTTCCGACCTGACCTGAAAGTCAAAATCAAACATAAGTAAAATCTCATCATGGCCAAAAAAATATCCTGGTGGTCAAGTCATTACTTCGTATGTGCTGTGTGCATTCATCAAAAGCGCTGTCAATGTCACTCCTCACGAAGTAAATACTTGTGGTGTTTTCTGAACAAAATACACAACTGTGCAACGTGCAGAAAAGTGATGTCAGCTGTGATCTGATAACCAGGAGTCTGCCGTGCCTCTTATAACGTGGGGGGGGTGAGACATGGACCAAGGCAACCACTGTATAGAGATGTTTCCCTGTATATTCCAGACTCGGTTTCGCGCTGTTCGAAACGTTGGCATTTTTTTGTTCTTTCAAACACAGATTAGTTTTCCGTTAGGAAACAGCGTTATGGGATATAGGACATAGGTAGTTTGGGACATATGTGCATGTGACCGCCAGGAAGTTGGAAGGCAAACTAGATGGACCTTGGTCGTCTAGCATTTCTTATGTTCTTATTTTTCTGCTCTCTGGGATTACAAAAGGCCCCATCATGAGTATCACAGGACGAAGAGAGCCTCAGAAATTGTGCCTTTCCTTCCCTTTTTTAACTGGTGATGGGAAGAAATAGTTTGACCTGTGGATGTATATTTTTTAAACAGGTCACTGATATTACATAAAAAATTGCATGTCTTAATTTCCTTACAGGCTAAAAATGATAAGTGCAACCCATGTAGTGGCATAGCCATTTGCTCATAATTTTTTTAACCAACAGCAAGGAATAAGGAAATAATTCAAGGCTGTAATCTCCAGATTCAGGCAATCTTTAGTAATCCTCTCCAGTTTTGCTGTTGTGGCTCATAATCCCACTGAAACTCCTTGACAGGAATAAAGTCGGGTTCTTCCTGCAATTATTACGTGAAAGTGAATGCCAATACTGGCAATCTTCATCTGCCGTGTGACAGTATATCTATACTGACATTGTCTGCGCCCCCACCCACTCACCCATCCATCCAGACTAATTGCTATCTCATTCATTGCCAATAAAGACTTGACCTGTGCAGGTAAACTTCCCCACTTCCAAAATCAAATCTAGTGAAAAGCTGATGGGAATTGTGTCTTTTTCGACCTTTGCAATGACCCATCACTGTTAAAAACCTATAGATTTGTTTGTAAATTTTGCTGTTACGTACGGCAGTTTTACACACTGTTCAAGTCGAGCTCACCGTTCTTCCTGGTGCAACCCTCAATTCTAATGAAGTATTTTTCCAGATCAGTTTGCAGTGCTAATCTCCCATTCAGCATTAAAAAAGAGGGCAGAATCGACGTACCTACATACCCCAGAATATCACTGATCTGTTTTTTGTTATTGTTTTATTAAAACCGGGATTACTGCACCTAAATTCAGCTTTGTTTTGGTAACGGGCATAAGAATGAGCTGACACATTGGTATAAATGAATCCACCTTAAGGCTAAAACAAAGACTACGTCTNAAAAAAAATCTTTCACGAAATCTCAGCTGACATTTAATTTAAAACCTCTCTTTGTACAAATCTGATTCACGATTATAACTGATTGTATGGCCACCGAATAAAATCAAAATTATGTATCTTATGTGTGTTTTTGTGTTTTAGTTCATTCATTTAGTTTTATACTGAGCTATATCAAATGCAAGGATTATTATTATTATTAATAGGTCCCAACTGGACCTATTAAGCACAACATGGTCAATGCCCCAGTGACTGGTCTGCTCTTCTGTATCCCGCTGATGAGTCAGGCCGGCCGGTCTGTCATTAGCAGCGCTTTGGGAGTCCTGAGCGTACCCACCGTCTCAGGAACTCGGCAAATGAAAACTCACAAAGAGGATCAACTCGATTCTAATATTCTGTTGCCAGTTTTGTTAGCTTGGAGCCAACTCAGCCGGGAGTGCCCCCACTAACCCTCCCCCCCCCCCCCCCTCCCCCACACACACACACACATCCTGGAGGGTAGTAAAATAATATAAAAAACAAGTTTGAAAACATAAGTAAAAGTAATGAGGTTTGGTAGCGGTGTTGTGCTATATCAATGGAAAGGAAAACAAAGAAGTATAATTGTTTGGCCTTGTGGCTTTCCCAGCTGATGAACAGTAATAGGCACATACTCCTCACCTCGTATTTATACTCCAATACTCCAACACAATACAAAATTAGACGAGCTCAGAGAATTATTAGCGCTCTATTTTTAGCGGATTAGCGAGGGCCAGTTCAGGTCTCGAGAAGAGTAAATTAGTTCCATGGTTCACGTCGGCATAAATTAATAATCCTGGCATTTGATATAGCGCTTTTCACATCTTCGGGACGTCTCAAAGCGCTTCACAGATTATACTGTAAAGTGAATTGACTATAATTTGGGGGTGAAACGCGGCAGCCAATTGCGCACAGCAGCGTCCCCACAAACAGCCGTGGATTGAGTAACCAAATTGTTATTTTATTTATTTCCTTGAGGGATTATTATCAGCCGTGTGGAGTAAGGTAACTCGCCTAAGGTTTCGCTTTGCCAGGAATTGAACCCAGGTCTCTCGCGTGCGAGGCGAGTGCTCTAACCACTGAGCTGCAGGACTCCACTGATGGCCGAATTAAGAGCAAATAAGACCATGAAGTAAAACAGATTTCCAATCAATTCAACAGTGAAGCGCTTTGAGACATCTCGAAAGACGTGATACGGCACCGTATCAAATGCAAGGATTATAATTTTTATTGTTTCACAATTTTACCTCATTTAAATTAGTGGCTTGAATATAGAATATAGTTTCCAAAATTCTAGCCTGATATTGCAATGCAGTCCTGGAGATGTGCTTTGAGGCATTTCAACATAAATAAGGCACTATGTGAAATGCAGTAGTTATTATATTACCGATTATCCTGAACTTCTGTCCTCTCGGTTACAGATTGACTGACCCAGGGTGTCCTTGCCTGATGATTTGATCTATACGGTTAAATACGTACAGAGATAATGAATGCCAGAGGCTGTCTTGCTCAGTCTCAAATTACCTGCTAAATGAAATCATTAATTTCAATTGGAAAAGGGCATTGTTCAACTGGCTGTTGAAGAAGGTAAAAGTTCTGCCTGACCGCAAAAAATACTCTCCGCTTCATGGCTGGACTCGACTGTAACTTCAGGGTAGAGAGTTGTCAAATGTGATGGAAATTCCTCGGTAAACAAGCACTTACTATCTCACGTTATAGTCCCCAAATCCCTTCTGCGCTTTCAGTCACAAACTGTAAATTTACTCAAACTCTCCCTTTGCTCAAAACACTTCAAAAATGCACTGGGTTTTGTTATTTCAAGGTCTTTATTGTTTTCCCATGGAAATATTTGGGTTGGACACCTTTTACACAATCACATTACATAACATCATGGTATACTGAGAACTACAACCATCACAGGATACAGTGCAGCAGCAGCAGACATACATTTACAATGTTCATACGTGGGTTAATTCATTGCACTTATATATAACAGTGTGTGTTTGCACTCCTCTTTCCAAGTATACGGAAGCCAGGTTTACTTTAGGAAATCACTTCATTTTCATACACAACATGTAAAAACTCTACACGGATAACAACTGAATACATTATTTCTCGATGGTCTATATGTGCCAGCCACAAACACAATATGCTCCATTATTGATCATTTTAAATAAAGCTTTTTTTCTTTTCTTTCCGTGTTAAAACAAGCGAGAGTTGGCAGGATTGTTGGTATGTGTGATCCACACCCAGTGGCTGTTTCGAACATTCGGACAGATTTACACACTGTACAGTTATTTACACGAGAGAAAGAGAGTGAGAAATATCATTGTCAGCAGTCCACTCAACTGCGTTAAGAAAAAAAATGTCCAAGCTTGGTTAAGAGTGGAGGCTCCAGCAAGGAAAGGCTGTTCATGTGAGGAGGGCTAGTCCTATTTAGGGGCCGGACCGGAAAATGAAGCTGAGATCAAATACGTCGTTTCCTATCTGGAGATCTCACTCGAGCAACGATCAGCTTTAGTTTCCCTCTTTCCCCACCCACCTGGGACCCTCCATTTCCAAAACAAAACAAATCTCGGAGATGTGAGAAGGTTTCATCTGCTCATGCACACTCTCAACTGAAGGTTTGAACTGGGGGCAGAGGTGAAAGATTACAATGTGGTGTCAAAACGGAAACAGCAATGGATGGTATATAACGGAAGGGGGAAGTTAATGGATGGACAATTTTTTGGGGGAAAAAAAGTTCATGAGAAACATTTTTTCCTCCGTAGAATTCCTTGTTAGATTCTGGGAAAACAAGCCAAGGTCACGTTTCGTTTTTACCAGGTGTATAAAAGAATGGTTGAAATGATATTTTGGATGTTAGTGACACAATACTGATCTCAGAGTTACAAATACTTGGTTCACTTTCATCCTTTTACAACACCCTCAACTCCCAAATGAATCGAAACCCCTTTTTACGAAGGTTTCAATGTGACTGCTCCCCCACAACTGCTCAGTAGATAGACTACAGAAGAACTTGGCTCTCACCTTAAACCTGCTGTCATCGTGGAAACTGTTGAATTTGTTTGAGTAATTGTTTGAAGTGAAGTCCAATTTACATTTAGTAAGGTTATTAAAGAGCCTGAAAGGAAATTAAACCTGAATAAATTGCAGCTATCTATTGTGGGATACTGGATATTCTGGCTCTGTGTAAGTAGCAGTGAAGGTATGTAGAGATCCCGTGATCAATTCATTCATCATCATGCTGTGTGACACATAACGAAATAGACATGCCATTCAAAACATCAATATTTTGCCCCCAAGAGGTCTTCTTGAGAAATTACATTTTTAGAATCCTTAATTAAAACATTACGACTGTATTGGAAAGTTATTTTTAAAAAAAATTCAATTTCCCAAAGGGGACAAATTTTTAATTTTACCAGTTCTGAAGGGTCAATTATTCTCTTGTACTGGGAGTGATGTTGCAACGAGAGTTTTGTTAGGCATAGAATACGCTGTGAGATTTTGATTTGAGAGTTTTTTTGTTAAGTAAATCTGTAAACAGATGTCCTCCCGACGTGAAAGGCGCTATACAAATGTAATCTTGTTGTTGTTGTGGTTGTCCCCCTTAGGTCAGTGGAATGGGAGTTAAACGTGCATTCAGATTTCCTGTTTCATTGCTTGGCATGTTTCAGATGGTATTTGAGGTGATTAAGGGCACCGGTTAGTTGAATGCAGGATAAAAGTATCGTATTTTCCAATTTGTAGTACTATTGTGTTCTCGACTATATATCTATGTTCTTCATTCACAAATACAGTAAAGTAATGCTCAATTGCACTATCCCCAAAAAAGACATGAAGCCTTACTCTTTGACCAATAAATCTCCTTTATAACTTATATAGACCGTCTCCCATATAGAATTGCAAATTATTTTATATACATTTATTAAATCTGAATATCTTGAAGTAAAATCTTAGTTTTTGTAGATAGAACCGCAACATTTGTTGTGATGTCTAACTCCAGTTTAACTGAAACACCAGCTATTGTCATTTTATATCCTGATTTAGAAGTGCGGACGCATTTCCTAAAATATCTAATCGCTATCGTGAAGGTATTTTGTTCTGATATTTTGTCACTGAACGCTTGCTTACTTGAGAACATGAATGTCAGTCAACATGGATTATTCATGCATACAGTACATTTACACATACATGTCAATGTCACAACGTACACGATGCCCATAAATCTAGCTCATGACAATTCAAAACTGCACAAGCTGTGGATAGACCAGAAGCCAGTGAAACCAGCCAGACAACTAGAAAATATAGCTTCTCAATATGTCCAGGCAGCAGCAGAAATGGTATTAATGGCTCCAATAATTAACCCAGAAGTGAGTGAAGTCAACTTCAATTTAGCAAACCTACTTTAGAGGTTTATTGTGTTAGGGGAAAGGTTCGGATATCAGTATTCAATGATTACTAATCCATTGCCAAGTGTAATGGATTTAGTTTGATCCGACTTATTATGCACCTTAATGTGAGGATACGCTGGGTGGGATTGGGAATTTGGGAAATGTGATTCATTGCCGTACAGAGCTTTGAGCTAACAGAGCTGAGGTTCCAAAGCAGGAAAAGAAAGGGATCTTTTTAAAAAAAACATAGGATGAGGCAATGATTCGGTGACAGTAACTAAAGCAGGTAAGGAGTTCCACAAAGTACACAAAATTGGTAATAGATTGGAGAGAAGGACATTTTTAGGGTTTCTTCATTCGTGAGGGAATTATCAACAATGTACATTTGATTCGATTGTACCAAGGCGGCTGGATCATAAACGAACATCAATACAGTCCCCACTGCTGTTTGGCTGCTATACTATACCGTAGATTGTTCTACAATGAAACAGGATCTCTTCCTAGGTCCTGGGTTTCAGGACATCTCATTCCATCTTATACTGAAATATCCCACTTTGGGTGTAGCAGATCCCATTGCAAGTTATGATGATAAATCAATTCCCCTGAGTACTGCTGTCCTCCCAGTCTTCTGGCTCATCAACAACAAGTGCATCCAGTAAATGTAACGCGAGGAACGCTAACAACTCCAATACATAACTAAATGGAAGGCAAGCACTGAATCAGCAAGTCATGCGCTAAACTTGCAGACAAAAAGACACGCACACACTCACACAAACTATTATCCCATTGGTTTTAACGTGGCTTCCCTTTTGGCATCAGGCCATGTTAACAGGTCAAGCCAGTTAACGGATTACAGTTACAAAACATGACTCCCCAAAATCAATAGCATCGTCTGAATTTTTACTCCATTTACATAACATGAGTTCAGTATTAAATATTAACACAGTTTTATCATTGCATAGAAAATCTGAAACGGTAATTGCTTTCCTTCATCCCATTCTGATGAGTGGAAGCCCATACACATTGCACATTAGCGTAGATGCAGAGTGGAGGCAAATTTTCTCCTCCATAGTTGTGCTCTTATCAGGCTGCTCTACTCTATTGCTTCTTATAGTACCATTACTCCTTTTCTACCCAATACATATCCAGTACCACGTAAGCAACGAGGGGTGGGGAAAGGGGATGGTGGGGGGAGGGGGGAGGGGGGGGGGGAAACTGGGGCATTTAGCTCCCAGCCCTATAAGAAGTAGGTGATGTACGAAACAAAAAACATTTGAGGTATACAATTGAAAATTGGAAATGATTAAGGCGGTTTAGAGACAGCGTCCAGAAAAACATAAACAGGCAAGCACGTTGAGGGGGAAAACATTGTACTGTATATATGGAATACACACTTCACTGCAAATGAAAAAGGACTGGGAGGACGACTGATTAATGGCTGCGTGGCGTGGTATATCTTGGCCACCAAGCCAGTCCTACGAGCAGATATCACCAATCCCGTGGCCGGTTTCAACACTTATTGGTACTTTGTGATAAATTTTTTTTTTTTTAATCGTTAAACAGTGCTAGGTCCTGGTTAAGAGGCTGAGTACTGCAATCTTACTCTCCATCACTTTGGGTCCTGCAGCGCTCTGCACACAGGGTTGCGTTCGTCCCGTATAACCAAAGAATATCAGCTGCAAACTCAACACGAGATGGTGGAATGCTTGGGAAATATGGAGCATTTAAGCTCCCAGCCCTAAAAGAAGTAGTTCAGTTCTTCACCCCAGGAAATCCTGGACAGCGAATACAGAAAAAACCTATGAAGATGGAAAACTTGAACGAGAGAAATTGGACTCTGTACTCACTCCAAGTCTTCCCCTTTCAGGGTCCATGGGGTCTTGCACAGAAACCCAGGCAGAAGGAATTCCAAATGTTGCAAACATCTTTTTTTGGAGACCGAATCATTCTGATTGTTTACCTTCAGGCAGAAGCTATCCTCAAACCGTTCGCCTTCCAATTTGATGTTGTCCAGAAGGATAGCCAATAGCTGGAGGTTCTCAATGCTTTCACTTTTAGTATTCCATTAAACCAGCGTAGCACTCAGACTTGGGAGAAAGATTGGCATCCAAATTTCTTCATCTACCGATTGTTAAATGTATCCTGAGAACCAAACTGAAGGCGTTATATGTTCTGGAATGCCGTGTAAATCTCCGATCAAACGATCGCCTCGTCAGCCGTTGTGTCAACGTACAGCATTCTCTATCGGATGCATTTTCCTACTTACTTTGCATAGACAGACATCGACAAACTTTGCCTTACGATTTCTGTTGGGGATAAACCAGAGAATCCTAAAAAAGAGAGAAAAAAAACGAAGGATTTTATTTGGAGGATGAGTTTGAGTTCTGTGTTCATCAGAGTGATAGATGTTAATGCTTGGAAATAATAATAATAATAATGATAGTAATCCTTGCATTTGATGTAGCCTGATCATGTCGACAAGACGCTTCACAGAATATATTGTAAAGTGAATTGACTGTATGTTTTGTGGGCGAAACCTGACAGCCAATGGCGCACAGCAGCGTCCCCACAAACAGTCGCGGATTGAGTGACCATATTTATTTTTCTTTTTGGAGAGTTTATTGCCCCTGAAAAGTGATCTGCCAAGCAACTAACAACCGGGTTCCTACTTACTGCTAGGTAAACCGAGGCACGTGGAGTAAGGAAATTTGCCTAAGGTTTCGCCCCGCCCGAAATCGAACCCGGGTCCACTTGCTTGTGAGGCGAGCGCTCTAACCAAATGGGAGCTTTTCCATTTGATAGCAAGGCTGATGCTTTGGGCCTGTTCGCTTTATTCTACGATATCCTGCTATTGAAGCTAACTAAACTTTGGTCTGGCTCCATGCCGTCAAGCATGTCATATTGTTACACAGACAAAAAAAAAAGTTACCCAACAGCAGATTTGCTTCCTGCAGGATAATAGAGCAGATGGAAGGAAATTCATTAATAAGACTGCTCGGAAATATAAAGGGAACCAAACAAGACATTTTAATTAGCAGCAAACAACACCTGTCAGACTAAGGCAGACAAATGAGAAGATTGTTATGGTGTGAATTCTCCCTCGCCCTAAATCTCCACAAAAAAAATACTCGTCCACACAGCCTGAGGAAACTCCGCTAGCCTTCACTAAGGTAATAATAATAATAATTCTCGCATTCGATATAGCGCCTTATCACGTCTTCAAGACGTCTCAAAGCACTTCACAGGATGTGGTTATTTCCAGCAAAGGCTATCTGAGAAACCCTTATTATTTTTTTCGCTCACACACTATCACTCAGCCCAAAGAGTCCGATTACTTTTTTTTTCCCAGCAGTAAATGCGGTAAATGTTTCAGCTTTTAAGTGTTGGTGTTTTAATCGGTCCCAAGTTGTTCTCTACGATTAAGAGGTTTACTTTGCTTTCAAGTGAAATTATGCAGTCACCAAGCGGAGGAATGTCACACTGTTATAAATACAGAAATAATCCTTGTATTTAATCTAGAGCCTTTCGCTTCAGGAGGACATCTCAAACTGCTTCGCGGGTTAGATTTACTGTCAAGTGTAGGTGAATGCAGCAGCTAATTTTTTTCAAGCAACGATATATAATAATAATGCTATTCCTTGCATTTGACACAGCGCCTTATCACATCTTCGAGACGTCTCAAAGAGCGCGTCACAGAATATACTGTCAGGTGAATTGACTGTATCTTTTGTGGGCGAAACGCGACAGCCAATCGCGCACAGCAGCGTCCCCACAAACAGGCGTGGATTGAAGTGACTAATTAATTTCTCCCCACAAATAGCCATGCCGGTTTTTTTTATATATATATATGAGGGGCATTGTTGGCCAGGATGCTGGAAAAAAAATCCCTTTTCTTTTTGACCAGAGCCATGGGATTTTTAACGTTTCGCCCTAAGATGCAGCCGTTACCCACGCTGACGCTGGCGGGGGAGGAGGATGCATTTTGGCTCGGGAAGAAACTGACGGGCCGGGTTTGAAAAGCGGCGATGTGGGTTGGATCGACTTCTCTGTGTTGCTTTTAGCACACGGCTTCCGACCGCAGAGATTTTCACTTTCCTGATGTGTGAGAGTGGGTGGCATAGTTACAGCGAGGACTCAAACTGAGTAATTATCGTGTTAACACTCGCACCCACGCCTCGCCCCGACCTTGACAGGCGAATCACACAGCAGCAGACGCTGAGAAAAAGCGAGAGAGAGAGAGAGAGAGCGAGAGAGCGAGAGAGAGGAGAGAGAAAATGTGTAACAGCAACACCCCAGTGAGCACATCTCTTGGTCACACAGGTCAGTTGTAGTGTTTATTGGTCGCAGAGACAGGAAGCAGCTGGAGGATGTAGCTCCAACGCGACTGTATATTTTCATCAATTTTTAATTCTTTTTCATTCCTTTTTAATAAAAAAAAACTTTCATTCCCTCCTGACTAAATGTTTGCTGGCAAAGGCAGGAGTGAGGGAGCAAGGGATTGCTTGCAATTTCTACTAACCACCGTCGAATTTGTACGTTAATTTTTGTGGACGAAGAAGGACATCACTGAAATCTGCTGAAGGGTGAAGCTACCTTGTGTCCCATCACCTCTGCCCCACTCTCTGGAACTCCATCCCACATTCCCTTCGCCTCGCGTCCTCCCTCGCCTCCTTCAAGGCACGTCTCAAGACCCACCTCTTCGACCCTGCCTTCGGCCACCCTCCCACTCCTACCCTCCCTTACCCCAACCCCCGCACCACCATGCCCCTCACAGAGAGCTACTGACCACTGAACGAGCGGAGCTGAGGAGGGGAGTAAAATGAAACCAGTCAGAGCTTATCCAGCGCTATCTTAGGGACCTCCGTCAGAAAACGCGTACCTGTGGGGTTTGAATAAGGACAGGATTAGGCTGGAGCGTGAAGACCTGATAGTTGAGTTGCCTGATGATAACTAAACCTGAGGTGTGCCGTGGATTAGTTGCAAGACCTTTGGGCAGATTTAGGTGTTGCTGCCTGGCGATATAGCACTAGATGGCACTGCATTGCACAAACCGGAAAATAATAAAGAATACTTCAAGTTCTTTCAAACATTATTTAGCTCAACAGCGTTCGCTCCGAGACATCTGGACCAGCGCATAGGTTTGCCGTAGTTTTAATGATTCTCGTAGTTTAAAACGTAGCAATAGCTCAACTTCCACATGCAACGAGCAGATTTCCCTCCATCAGAGGGATGGGACATCTAGTTTGTGCTCAGTATGTTGCGGTTTGCCTCAGTAGGGAATGGTAACAAGCTCGGAATATGATCTTTGGAAGGAAGGTTCAGACCACAAGAGAGCAACGAAAGAGCCAGTTGACCATCAAGCCCACTTTGTCCACTCACCAGGCAAAAAAAAAAAAAACCTTCCATAACCTAACACGGATAGCGCCATTCCATCTCCTGGGTGGGAGTTTCTAAATGCCCACAATGTTTCCGAAGGTTACAATAGAAAACAGATCCATATTATTGATCCACCCCACATCTCCGCATGATTGAAACCTGGCTCTGCTTTGTTCCGTAGACAACATGGTGCCCTCCTCCCCTCCTGACTTCAGCAAAAACCATCATGTCGGGGTCGGTGAAGAATTTCTCTCTATCTTTCCTGATCACCTCCACCGTCCCCAAATAATTGTGCCGTTCTTTTCTCGAAGCAGATAACTGACAGCATTCTACAGCGTTTGTGCAAGGAATGAATGCGATGTCGAGGGACCAAAATAGCCTCTTTGTACTCCGCGGTATCGAAGATTTACATGAAATCTGTACACGCGCAGTCACGCACACACACACACACACACACAGACACGCGCACACACTGACTAGAAAATATCAGCGCAATGAGCCAGTAACATTTCAGTTCAAGAAACCGAAACACTGCACAATGAAAAAAACAAACTCTCGGGAACTGTAAATTAATAAAGTGTTGAGATTACTCGTGGGATTAATCCATCCTTTGTTTTTAAAAGGGTTTTTCAGGTGACTGGCTCCAGGAGGAATTAAGTAACACGTGACTCTGACTGACAGCCGCAAAGCTCATTGATAAAATCCCCAGCGGTACAAACCAGGTTCCATTGATAAAGTCCTTGTCGTGCACCCAAGGGCTCCTTAATAAAATCCTTGTGCGTTCATCCACAACAGAACATTACAATTCACCTTTTAAAGTCATGCCACGACCCCTATGTTTCCATGACTGTGTTTGATGAGTATTTTAATGGCTGGTGTCCAGCAGAGGCTCAGAGGGAGAATGGATTGAATCGGTTCCTTTGCTGAACGCAGTGAAATTCATCTTGGAAGTGTCACTGAACTCTTTTATTTGAAGCAGATGGTGGCTGGCCATATATCCTGTATAAACTCCACTATTCCCCTCACATGTCGCTGTGACACAGTCCAGCCGTGGATAACACAGGAGCTGGTTATAGGGTTAGGCTGAATGCACATCCTACAATCAAGACAAGAAAAGGAATACTCAGGAGGGGTAAGGAGAACGTTTAAAGAGAAGCGCTTTGAGATGTCTCGAAGACGTGATCAGGCTCTATATCAAATGCAAGGGTTATTATTATTAAAACCACACCCTGCCCATCACACCGCTATCATTTTCTCCGCAGAAATGCCCAAAATTCAAACGCTTGGTGGCCAAGCTCTGATTTCCTGCAAGGCCCAGCTACCTTATGTCTATCTAGTTTCACCATAACACAACCTTTCTCTTCCCTAACTCTCTTCCTCTGCCACTTTAATCTGACCCAGTTCCTAGCTGCCCCTCTCCTCTCGTTACTATGCTCCACTTAAAATTTCCCTCATGGTATGACAAGTTCTATCCTCCCTTTTCCGGTCCAGATTTCAGGTGACTGAACGATGAAAGGTACATTAAAATGCCAGGAAAACACGCGGAGCAGTGATTTATATCTTTGCCAAGTTCTGATTTCCTGCGACATTTTCATATAAGATACTTGCATTTGATTTAGCCAGCGCCTTATCACAGTCTTGTGACATCTCCAAGCGCTTCACAGAATACATACTGTAAAGTGGATTGACTGTGTGCTTTGTGGGCGAAACCCAAATATAACGTTAAACCTGTTGCTGAAGTTGACGTGGAAGGAGGCAGATTGTAGGGGCGATATCTCTGGTCTCAGAGATGTCACGAGCACCTAACACTGAGAGTAATAATAATCTATTAATAAACACCAGCTCAGTTCTCAGGCTGGAGGTAAATATCTTGGAAATCAGTGTAGCATGTCAAACCCATCTGACAACATACTGCACCGTTGCCAGTTTCCGCTCTAGTATTGAAGCCATTGTT